AAAACCCAGCCCTTCTTGCCGTTGTTTTCTTCTTCTCGGCCTCGGATGGACCAGCTTCCGAGGCTCCGGCTCCTGCCCCCCGGCACGATGCCTCCATCCTCAAGGATGGGATCCATGATGCTTCCTGGACACGGAGTTTTTGAGCCTGCATGGAACCGCCCCCCGCGTGTCTGGGCCATGCCTATGGCGTTGGCTTGTCTGGCTCAAAGCGCCAACAATATCCTCCACGGCACCGTGGTCCTTTCTTCCATTGGCTGCAGCAATGAGATCACACCAAAAGAAGCTCAAGGAAAACAGGCCCTTTGTGGACGGCATTGCATACCAAATGTTCATGAACCCCAAAGTTGCGAGGAATCTGACGCCTTGAGTCGTGGACCCTTCAGGGCGCTATGTAAAATCAATGACTACAAATCGGCAAAGTGGTCCTGGATAAGAACAAACATGCGGCGCCTAAGACAACCTCAGACTAGCCCAAAGTCCCAGACGCGAGAAAATCCAACGAAGACTGAGCCCACACCACCTGCCTGGCAGTTGCACATCCGCCTCCCCGAGGATGCCTTTGGAATCCTCGCGCGGCGAGCGTTTGCACTATCGGGATTTCTCTGCGGATTCAAATGGAACCCCAAAGAACTCTCTCCATTGGGGTCCCATGTCACTTTGGGAGACCAAGATCTTGCTGGCCTACTTTCCAACATGCGGGAGGAATTTTGACTCAACACAAAACACTATATATTTTGCACTGAGTGTTGCATTCCACAGAATGTGCCATTTCCGGTGAAAAAAGGCAGAAACCCTATTTCGTAGAACCCGTATCCACCCCCCCGTCTGGTTTGCCCTTGGCTTATTTTTTGGTTCCCTTTGCTGCACTTGTAGCTCTTCCGCTTGGATTCCCTTTGAGCCTGGGGTGCGGCCCAAAATTGCCACGTGTGCACTCTCGCCTGTCGGGGCAAGCAGGGCGCGGTCTGATCCATGATGTCTGGATCCTGGCAGCCGCGCGGTATAGCAAGGTTTCCAGTCACGACCAAAGGAGCGACAATCCCAAATCTCGGACAGCCCAAGCTCTGTGCGGTGTGCGTGCGTAGTGCTTCACAAAATCAACCCCTTTGGCGTGCGGGTAAGTTGATAGGTTGATAATAGGAGTTCTCGGACACCTTCTCCCTCTCCACCCCCGGCTCAAGCATGAAGAGGCAACTTGGAACAGAAAGCCTCAATTCATGGGTACGTCACGTCTCAAAACAGGGGTTGCACCCGTTGTGGCTCTGGGAAGCCAAATGGAAAGCAAAACGGAACCAAAGGAAAAAGTCAGAAGTTCATCTTAGGAAATCCACTAGTGACCAGTTTTAGGGGCTCCCTGATGTCCAGCATCCCCCAACCAAACCAAACCAAGCCGGGCCAAGTCAAGCAGAGCAACCAACCGACGCACCAACCTGCCCACCCACCCACCCAGCCAGCCAGCCAGCCACCCACCCACCCACCCACCCACCCACCCAGCCAGCCAGCCAGCCAGCCAGCCAGCCACCCACCCACCCAGCCAGCCAGCCAGCCAGCCAGCCACCCACCCACCCACCCACCCACCCACCCACCCAGCCAGCCACCCACCCACCCACCCACCCACCCAGCCAGCCAGCCAGCCAGCCAGCCAGCCAGCCAGCCAGCCACCCCACCCACCCACCGTGTTTTTCGGGAGCCAACCAACTCGCATCTCCCCGGTCCTTGACCTCCCGCGGCACGATGCGCCGGATTCTGGCCTGTGCCTCACAAGGCGGACCTCAGCCGACGGGCTCGCGCCAGTTCGATCCCAGGAGTTCCCCAGCGGGTTCGCATCCGAGTTGGTTGAAACGGAACTTGCCATGTTGCTTATATTCGTTTTGTTTGTCGTTCTTCAACTAGACCACGGTTGGCCCGAAAGCAGAACATCGCAAGCGAGGTCGGCCCAACGCTGCAGGATGCGTTCTTTTTCCCTACACGAAGCATTCGTGAAGCAAGCGCGAGACAGCACCAGGCAAGGTGCTCTGCGCAAACTGGTCGGTGCAAGTTGGTCTGCGCAAGTTGCTCTACGCAAGTTGCACTGTGCAAGTTGCTCTGCGCAAGTTGCTCCGCGCAAGTTGCTCCGGCAAGTTGGTCCCTGCAAGTGGCTCCCTGCAAGTTGCTCTGTGCAAATTGCGCTCCCTGCAAGTTGCTCTGTGCAAGCTGCTCTGTGCAAGTTGCTCTGTGCAAGTTGCTCTGCGTAAGTTGCTCTGCGCAAGTTGCTCTAGGCAAGGCGCTCTGCGCAAACTGGTCGGTGCAAGTTGGTCTGCGCAAGTTGCTCTGTGCAACTTGCTCTGCGCAAGTTGCTCTGCGCAAGTTGCTTTAAAATGCAAGTTGCATCTTGCGACGCCCGCCCGCGGACCAGGGAGGAATCGAACCCGCGACCCGCCGGTTCCGGGAGCAGGCGCGCGAACCACGAGACAACTCCCGAGGACCAGTTCGAACAACAAAAGTCGCAAAAACCTCGAGTTTTTGCACCTCCACCACGCCGATTCCCGCAGAGGGTTGCGCGAGCACCGCAGAAATCGCAAAAAACCTCGAGTTTTTGCACCTCGACCACGCCGATCCCCGCAGAGGGTCGCCACGCCGATCCCCGCAGAGGGTCGCGCGAGCAGGTTAAACATCGCAAGAAACCTCGAGTTTTTGCACCTCGACCACGCCGATCCCCGCAGAGGGTCGCGCGGGAACTTTAGAAATCGCAAAAAACCATGGGTTTTTGCACCTCGACCACGCCGATCCCCGAGCCAAGTGCAAGGTGTGGTGTGCAAGTCAAGTGCAGTAAGCAGGTTGACTCCTTGCAATGACTCCTTGCAATGACTCCTTGCAATGACTCCTTGCAATGACTCCTTGCAATGACTCCTTGAAATGACTCCTTGCATGACTCCTTGCATGACTCCTTGCAATGACTCCTTGCATGACTCCTTGCAATGACTCCTTGCAATGACTCCTTGCAATGACTCCTTGCCATGACTCCTTGCCATGACTCCTTGCAATGACTCCTTGCCATGACTCCTTGCAATGACTCCTTGCAATGATTCCTTGCAATGACACCTTGTAATGACTCTCATGAGAACAACTCAAGTGAACCCAGCGGAAGAACCCTTCGCCATGCTTTCGGGAAAAAAAAAGTGACAAACAAACAAAAGAGAAGGAAAAAAGAAGAATAAAAAAAAGAATAAAAAAAAAATGAAGGAGAAAAAGAGAGAGGAAAAACATGTTGAACAAAAAGTTGGGGGGTGGCGCTAAGACACGCCCAGCATTCTACGGAGAGCCATGGCCGCAGCCAATCTTCAGGGCTGCCCTTCCAGCTGCAAGCTGAAAATCAGCCCTACCCGAGTTGCTTGATGCTTTGCTGCAGGTTTTTCCGTGGAACCCACGAGGTGGAGCCCCCAAAAAAAGGAGATTCCTCCGCAAATGGGCGGCTGGTGTTCCATGTCAGTTTGCGGGGAACAGGAAGCGGATCCCTAAAGCTCAATGCTGCAGCTGAGAACCCTGTGGATCCTTGTGGACCCCAGTCAAGTGCCTTCACACATGAACCCAACTGGGTAAGTCCTCCTACCCGTTCTGTGTTTCGTGAACCATCCAAAATAGGTTCGAGCAAATTGGGCATGTTTTTTGCGTTGGGATCCTTTGGTCAACATCATTCAAAACTGCTGAGGGGGTTCCGGAGCATGTGTTGAAACAGAATAAACTTTTCAAAAAAAATGGCCTGGTTTTTTCCGTTTGGCCTCCTTTTCAACCAAGGTCCCCAAGAGAAAAACAAAACCCACATTGGTTGAACCCATCGGACGCTTCAAGAAAGCCCAGGAAGCTCCCTGAGGCCGAAGGCCAAGGTCCGGCTCCTTGGGCACCATCGGCGGCGTGGGGCGCCGGAATGAAACCTCCAGCCGGTGCTTGGCGCGGGGTGAGGCAACCACCCCCCCCCGGAGGTCGCCCAAAAGCGAAACAAAAGATGTGGCAAGGCACCGAAAGAGCAATGGGCGATGCTCGCTCGCCCCACGGAATCTACGCTTTCGGGGAGAAAAAAGAACATAGCCAAAAGAGGGGTTGTCTTTTGTGATGGCAAGAGGCCCGTCCCCAAAACTCCCCCAAACTTCAATGCCAGGGATACCCAAAAAGTGCATGTTGGATGGCGGCGCGGAAAGTACACCTGTACCTGTTGAGAAGGTCTGGCAAACCTCATGGGCTCTTTCTCCCTAGTTCAAGATCTTTGAAAGACTCACTCACCCGCCCAAGCACTCTGGGCTGCCCGGCTCCCCAGCCCACACAGTCACTGCTTTTGAAGGGTGTGCTGGGCCGGGAAACCAATCTGGCGGCTCGGTCAGGGCTTCCCGGTATTTCCGACACAGGAAACTCCGGGGGCGCGCATGAGAGCCAGCACCACGGGCAGCCTCTCATTCCCAGACTCATGCTCTCTCCACAAAAGCGCACGCACCTCCCACCCCCCCATCCCCCCCAACAATGGTGCCCCGTCGAGCTCCAGAAAACTGAAATGAGGGATCCTCTCTGATGGATGTTTGGCTTGCTGGCACCAGAGCCACCGGTGCTTCCTGCCTCCTGTCAATACTTGTACCATGGATTTGGACCTGCTTGCTAAACCGATCAAATTGCTTGATGGAATTTCGGATCCAAACCAAAAAGGGAACGTGATGGGGGCGAACACGACGACGACGGAAACGCCAAAGAAATAGACATGCACGGGGCCACCGAGCAGGGGACGGCTCTCTTGACAGGGCCTCAGCAGAAGGGAGACAGCTCGGCATGGTCACCCTAACTGTCCAGCGATGTTTCAAAGATCGACATTGGATTCATGTATTCATAAAACGTTTGAATCTGCACCGCTCTGTCGTCTTTCAATTGGCTAAGCGTAACTTGCAAAAGCACATAAGTGCCATTCCTTACTTTACATCTTAGCTATGGTCAAAGGGAGTTTTGCCCGGGCGATGCGTATCTCTACATGTCTCAGGCCTTTTTCCGGCTAGCTCGCTTCAGACGGCCAAAACGCCGCCAGCCCGGCGATTCCGCGGAGCCTGTGGCACGACCTGGGACTTCGGTCTGGGGGGAAAAGCGCAACGCTTCAGCACTGGACAAACCTTGGAGAAATAAGCGAAAGCAAACCTTTGGAACGACCTGACTTTCATTAATCAGACAAAAACAAATTAAACAAATTCAACAACTGGAAGGATACCCGAAAGATTGCTTTGCATCGCCAATGGCTACGGTCCTGCCAACCAAACCGAAGGAAAGCCGAGGACTCGGAGACTCGGCCGCCCATCCGTCCAAGCCACGAAGCGGGCAGTGCGGTCTCAGCGGGGCACCTGGAGGCGCATGAGCAGCTGCACAAGCTGCAGCGAGGGCAGCTGCTCCTTCGCTTGCACGAATCCATCCCCTCCCCCCTGTTGCTTGGTCGCCCTGATTTGTCTAAATCCCAAAAAAGATGAGCGTGAAGGACTTGGGTGTCCATTTTTTCTGGCTGCCCTTTTGCATCGTGGTCAAAGGTGAAACTAGAAGGGAAACATGTTTGGGATCCCCCAATGGGTCGAATTTCTGTCTCCAGGCCATCCATGACTTTTCTGTGCGAGCAAGCTGGCAATGGATGCCCCCTCCTCTTGGACTCAACATGTTTGATTGGGACTGGTGGTCAGCAACAGAAAGAATTCCATGCTCAACGTGCCATAAGAAAAGCCGAGACAGGTGGTATTTCGTGTGTGTTTATTGTTGTTTAAACGTTGAACTCTGTTCTAAAGGGAAGACATTCGTGGAAGATGATACCTCGCACGACCCAAGCGAAACAGCACAAGAAGGCAGTCTGTGTTTTGGTCTTAGTAAATTGGCCAGCTTCGCCCCAAGAAACCCAAGCCTAACTGTCTGCCGCCGGTGCGAATGGCAGAAGAAAACCTCCCAAAGAGACAAAAACCATCTGCGTCTCAAGGGAACCAAAAACACCAAAATAAACGAACGCTAGCACGCACACCCGCCCAAATCACACTACCCTTCATTGGAATCGGCAACTGCTTGGCTAGGAGGGCTCGCTTCGAGGCAGCTGGAGCGTGGATTTGGGCCGCGCGACGTGGATCTTGGGGGGAGGGGGGTGGAGGGCACATACTGTGACAGTGGGGCCAACACGGATATGGACAAGATTGATTTCTTAAGGGTTCAGCATGCAACCCAAACAAGGGGCCCCCCAAAAAGACATGCCTCTCACGATCTTGTCCCATGTTGCTCTGCACAAAGCCCCAGGTCCGATCGGCAGACCAACCCCCAAGCTCCAGGTTGAACAGCTCGGGGTGCAGCTCTGAGGCAGCCACCTGCGTGCTTTCGTGATGCGATCGGTCGCCCTTTCCGCAAATGTTCCCTGTCTACGAGTTCCCAAGAGTCTTCCTTGTGTTCCCAAGGTAGAAATGGCCCTTCCGCCGGAACAAGAGCAAGCTTGCAGAAGCCAAATAGCATAGCCACTCGGAAAAGATGATTGAAGCATCCCTTATTCATTCAGCAGGAGGCAGCAATCTTTGCAAGTCCTCTTCCAGACGCGCTATTGCCAAACCGGCATCCCAGCAGGTGGAAAATGTTTGCGACATCAATGGTGTTGTCCTTGCGACAGGTGCATCTAGCATGATGTGTGCCAACTATTGCCACGTGGCAGTGGGCGGTCGTCTTTGCGATCCCTGTTGTAGATACAATTCAAAAACCTGCAGAAAAAAATACCCAAAGGAGGGACCTTCATCATGGGTTCTCGCTTGGTGAGCTTGTCTCAATTAGTGCAGATGTCCTTATGTGTCAGAATAAGTTTACCCAGGAAAGGGTGGGTGCTCCTGTTGGCTTCCCTCTAACACCACACCAAAACGCCTGAGAAGAACGAGCCAGGCGCGTCCTGCCTCCAGATCTTCAGCCTGATTCGGGGCGGGATGGGAGTCCTAACTTCAATTGAAGGCCTTTTGGCAAATATCATATGTAAATGGGAATTATGTCCACCCCGCACTAAACGGGAATTATGTCCCCCGGCATTATGTAAACGGGAATTATGTACGTCCACCCACCCATGTTTGAGGGTGTTCCCGCATTAAATGTTGTAGCTACCTTTCTGCGGACAAGTTTTGGCATGCCCAAGGGGAATCGATCTGGCTTCAGGCAAGCCATACACTTGTGCGACTAAAGTAGTCTCAAACTCAAAGGCGGAGGGCCTGAGGCAGTCAATAGAAACTCCACTGTTTCCTGCGTAATGTGCAGCGAAATACGGCGAGCAAAAGAGCAAGAGAGACAGAGACAGAGAGACCGACAGGCAGAGAGACATAGAGACAGACAGAAAGAGACGGAAAGTTGGAGAGAGGGAGAGAGAAAGAGAAAAAGAGAGATAGAGAGAGAGAAAAAAAAAAGAGGGAGAGAGAGAGAGAGAGTGAAAAAGAAAGAGAGAGAAAGAGAGAGAGAGAGAGAAGAAAAAAAGGAATGTAAGAGAACGAGAGAGATAGAGAGAAAGAGCGAAAGGGAGAGGCCGAGGCCCTGAACTCGTGTTCCTAAAGAATATTGGGAGACTCCGTTTTGAGCAGCTTCCTTTCCCTGTTTGGCTTGCCTCCAGTGAACAGCATATGATGTTGCCGTTGGCAATGGCCCAGCCCCAGTCACGGCGGCCTTGGGTGGTTGCGTGCGCAAGGCGCAATCAGAGAACCCCAAACTTGAAGGGAATCGTTTCCCAGCTTTCTTCTAATATGCGCATCCAGAGTTCACTTGGCATGCCTCTGCCATCAAGGCTTGGTCCCACAGTATGCCCCAAGCCTTGATGCCCTCAAGAGATGGACTGCCAAAATCTGTTGGTGTCCTCCTGGCTTGAACAGCTCTAGCTGCATTTTCACCCCATTCTTGCCACGGGGTCAGTAGCAACTGGCTTGGATCTGGGGCAGACTTTGCGCATGCCAGTTTTCTCCGCCGGCGCCCACTCAAAACTTGCCTTCCAAAAACAGTCCCCTGGAAACAGGCCGAGCCACGAAAAAGTGCAAACATAAAAATGGTGCTTTGAGGCAGATTTTCAACGCAGCTGCTTTGGGGGGCGCACGTGCGCGCGCGCGTGCGCTCGCAGACCTCCTCCGGCCCCCCACCAACACCCAGCATATCTTAGGAACAGCCCTAGCAACACCCCTAGCCACACCAAGCTGTTGGCTTGAGCTTGGCCTGCGGCAGTTGGACTCACAGTTGGGGGTAGCCGGTACAGGGCCACAGACCTCAAGAAAATGGGTGCCCAAGAAAGACATGCTCACAGCCATTCTGTCAGCATTGCTCAGACTCCATTGGTACTTGTCCTTTGGGACATGCACATCAGATGTGGCTGCAAGTCCGAGCATCCCACAACCGAAGCCGGGCGGCGGGTGACCCGCGCTTGCGGGAACTGGCCAAGGGCCACGTGTCGGCCATCGTCGCCTCAACTTGCTGCTAGGAAGCCTGTACCGAGGGTGGACCCAGAAGGGTCAAATATGTTGGCCCTGCACTTCCGCAGGACCCCTCATGCTTATTCGTACACAAAAAGCCAGAGCCGAAACTGAAAACCAACCGGACCCAAAGCCACAAATCGGCAACCAAGGCAAAGCCGAGGCGCTGAGGGACCACTCGTAGGTCAGGCCGTTGGGATGGTTCGCCACCTGCCCGCATTCCTCAAAGCGGAAGCAGCTCGAAGCGCGACGCTCCGGATGCAGGCGGAAGGTAAAGTCCCAGACCAGTCCCGTGAGCTCCTGGGCAATTTGATCCCAACTTGAGACGGGGAATACAAGGGGATCACCAAAGAAAGGCAAGCGGCATATTTGAGAACCAGATGGTTCTTCCTTCTAAAAAGGCCCCCACGGTAACTTTTGGTGGATTTTCTTTCTCCAGCGCTTATTTCTCTTTGCAGTGTAGAGGCCCATGGTCCAGCTGCCCTGGGCAAACTACTGTGCAGCACAAGGAAGTCCGATCTCTGCCGACGGATTCACACGAGCCGTTTCTTGCCATCAGACTCATACGGAAGTCGTGGCCTTACCCCCGTTTCTTCTATGTCGAGCCGCACATCTGCTTAGCACATTTGGCAGTGCTGAAGCGATCTATTCATCGTGCGCCCGCTACAGGAGCAGGCCGTGCAAAGTTGGTTGTGAGCGCCGATTGAGACTTGACTCGCCATACCTCGCCCTTGAGGAGACATTCGGCTTGCGCCACTGCTGGAGAGACAGAAAAGCGGGGGAATCCCATTTCGAAGCTCTGTCAGGAGAGACGCGCCATAGGTTCATTGCTGGAAGACTGGCATGTGACATCTTTGCTCGCAGCCTGGTTTCGGAAAGCTTGTTGTTTGGTTGGATTCATTTGAAATCCTTTGATCAAAAAAAAAGTTGGGCTTTAAGCAAAAAACCTTTGGAATCCTATTGCCATCCCCGAACGCCAAACCGCTCGGCCCAACGCAACAATGCCGCTCCTCCCGGGTGATCTGCTGCCTCTGGCCGTCTTCCAGGAAATGCCTCTAGACGTGGAAGATCATCGTTGTGGCAAGTGAAGAAGCAGCAACACGCAGGGGATTCTTGGTGGTCCACATTCAAAGTCAACCCACCAAAGAGAGAAAATGTTGTAAGTGTTGGCCTCGCACCCCATCGTGTGAGATGCGCCGCCGTCCTTGTCACTTTTGCCACGCGGCAAGGTTTTCTCGCCGCGTAAGATTTGGCCAAAAGGTAAGAAGCCCAACAAGTTGCGAACCAGCACCACGTGATTGGGACTCTGCCCAATCCCCGACTGCAAAGTGGGCGATTTCGACCACACTGCGAAAAGATTGACACCAAGGCATAGAGTCTCGACTGGAAGCGGATCTCTGCATCCCTCAATCCGAAGCGCCTTGTGAAGCCCTGGTGTGAGCGATGAGCTGTCATGCCAAGAGCTGTTCATGCGACCCAGGGCTGGGGGACAAATCAGGCCTAGTGGATTCAGAAACTGCCTGAAGGTTCCAAACTTCTCCCAGCGTTGATTTGCTGCAACAGTTCGTTGGCTTTGCCTTTCCTGAATATATAGGCATCTCGCAAAAGTGCCCTGTCAGTCTGCAGGGAATTCCCTTGCCGCTCAAAAGAATCGGCTAGTTGACATGCAGTGCGGCAGGTCATAGCAAACAAGTGGGAAAACAAAAGAAATTGGTCTGCAGAAAACCTACATCTGATGCAGAATGGATATGTCAGCGGCGAGGTGAATGAGCAATGACTGTTGCTCAGAATTCTGTCAGCATTGAAGTTTGACCACTCGGGGGACACCAACTTTGACAATTTTCGCATTTGCTATGGTCACAATGCCCTCAGGAATGCCAGGTACACTTTGCTAGGCATCCTGGCCAGTAGCAATCGGAATGCTCAAAGGGAAGAAGACCGACCATTCTACAACTCGTACTGACCATTCACTAGGGCACGAATGTACCTCCATTTGGGCGTCCTGAGGGGTAATTTCTTGGGGGCTATCCAAAAGGTAAGCTATCCAAAAGGTAAGCCACAGGGAAAGTGCCCCACTTTGGGGGGTCATCCTATTTGAAGCCTAACCCATCTGAGTGGTCAAACCTCCTCACTAAAAACCATGCTCACGGCTTCAAAGGGGAATTCTTAAAATGCCGGGTCCAAAACTCCCTGAATCCTATCCCGACGGCTGTTTACCCCCCCAGCCACCGGAGCCTGTAGTTCTCCTTCCAAGTTCGGCCTCTCAGCTGCTCCGTGCAGCGGAAGCCCACCTTCGTGGCCCAGCCTCGGCCGAAACCCCTGGCAGGGGCAGGACGGGGGCGGCTCTAACGGAGCGGACTTTCAAGGGAACCCTCCAAAGGAGACAAACAAAGTTGGAGGTGTTTGTAGGGGGACCTCGCACCCGCAGCACTCCCAGCTTCAAGGGAAGCACCCCCGAAAGTCGGAGAAAGATTGACCTCGGAGGTGGGACGGAAAGGGGAAACCCCACCAAATTGGACCCATTCCAACCAGTGCAAATGCTTGCCCAAATCGAGTCAACTTGCCGGGTCTTCGGCGTCCCCATGAGCAGAAGGCCGCATCCAGAAAAATCCTCAGAAACAAAACTGCTTTTGCTTTCAGATTGCAACGGCTCGCTTCACTGCATGCAGGCCGCCCCACAAAACATCCCTTTTGGGCTTTCCGGATTTCACAGGACCATATTCCTTCACATCCAAATGTCCGCTTGGGCACACGACACATGTCTTGTTATACGACAAACGGGTACAAAGGACCTAGGTTCCTGAGTGCTTGAGCATCTTTTGCACCCGCAGGATGCCAACCCGAACTTGGCAGATGCACCACATGTCCGATTGGCCTCCAATCACTGCCAAGCACACGTCTGAATCAAGCCCCCCCACCCCCCACCCCCCACCCCCCCGGAATTCGCCAATTCGAGTATATTCTGCCATATAGCTACCCTTGATACGCCTTCACATACCCTTTGCCTACCCTTGACATACCCAAGAGTTCCCTTACATACCCTTTCAACATACCCTGATATTCGGCCATGGGTCAACAGCCCGCACCCCCAGTAAACATCCCAATCCCCACTAAAATATGTTCTAAAATGGGTGGTGCACCCCCAAAATGGGATCCCATCGGTTTTGACCACCACAGCCATCCCCTCACCATCCCTTTGGCCAAGCCGCAGCGCCGGCACAGCTCCCGCCACAGCGCCTCCCGCTCGCCGCTTTCGCCGTCGCGCCAGGCGCGGCAGGCGCCCTCCGCGGCGCCCGCCTCCGCGGCGCCGCAGAAGCCGAGGCAGCGGTGCAGCAGCTCCATGCGCGCTCCATCCAAGCGCCCCAGAGGCGAAGCCGAGGCGCTAGGCGCGAAGCCGAGGCGCTCGGCGCTCGCTGCGCGCTGCTCGGTTTGTGATTTCACGTGCTTGGATCCGGTCCTTTCTGCTGTGCTCTTGGGTGTGGCTGTGGGGCAGGCCAGGACTCAGAGGTTGTGTTTATCAGCTGCGGAATGCGTTCCCTATGTATGATATCTGCATATGTCTCAGATAAGAGCATGCAAAAATCCAGACTCGGCGCAAGTGCTTGCCTCCCTTTTTTTTTCTCTCTCTCTCTCTCTCTCTCTCTCTCTCTCTCTCTCTCTCTCTCTCTCTTGCTCTATCTGTCTGCCTGTAGCTTGCTTGCCATGGTTGCTTGATTGCTTCTTTGTTTGTTTGCTTGCTTGTTTGCTTGCTCGTTTGCTTCTTGTGTTTTGGCTTGTTTGATTGGTTTGGAAGACATCGGCTTTTGGTGAACTCAATGCAAACCCAGGCGTGTATGGTGCAGCGACGGGAAAGTCAGAATCAGAAGAAAGCAATGTAGTTGAAGGGGGAAGCATCGCAGCTGCATTCGAGCCAAAGCAGTTTGCGAGGAAATGTCTTTCCTGAGATGTACAAGAGCATCACGAGATGATGGTCACTAATGCAGACAGTCCAAATCCGCACTGAGCTCCCGGCATTTCTTTCAGAAAATTCCGCATCCACCTGGAGCTGTGCACTCACGGTTTGCCCTGCAGCCCAGCAGAAGAACGCACTCCAGGTGCAGAGCAAACAAAGTGTCGACGGGCATTCCCTGCAACCGCTCCCTATGTGTTTACTCTTTCCAACTCAGCTTGGGCGCTGGCATCTTGCGGAGAGTCGGCGCAAGATGGGCTGTTCTCTCTTTCCTCGGACCGTCAATGAACAAGATGCAGAGAGGCTGGAAAGTCTGGTAGTCTTGCCCGGAGCATGCCTCCGGGTGCTTGTTCTCATGTCTGATCCGAAAAAGGGATTCCCGAGGACTGGAATTGTCGTTTCGGATTGAGCTCGGCTTTCACCTCGTCGCTTGCAGAAGAAAAACTGATGCTTTCTCGCATCAACGAGACCCTGGCCGCAAATGGCCAGACCTCCAGGACAAACCGCACCGTTTTGGTGGGAGGAAACATGCACAGCACAAACCTCCGAGAATGCCAGTCACAGAAGTCAAGGCAATCATCGGTCCACGACAAGATTATCTTTGCCCCAAAATTGCCGTTGCCACGCCACACAGGATTCCAACTAGGTGTGCAATCAAACATCGCCGACCAAACAAAACACCATGTTTGAAGATGTTTGAACCACCCAAAGAAAAACACAAAGTACCCCCTGCCGTACTCACTTCCATGCTGGGCCGGGAACTTGTGAAGGTCCCTCTGCCGTATCCTCGGTGCGCTCGCCATTTCCCACGCTCGCAGTCTGCTCTGTACCTCTCGGAACTGTTAGATTTTACATACCCAGCCACCAACTAACATGCCACCCGGAAACCCATGTCAGGTTCCATGAGGAGGGACCCAGATTTTTGGTTGCGCTCTCACGCTGGGCTCCGGGCTAAAGAATCCCAATCCTCGACACATCCAAGTTGAGGCCGCTACACACTGCGAGTGAAGGGAAGGATTTGTCAAATTCATGAAATAGGGGGTCGTACAACGCTGTTCAGAAGTTAAACTCACAAAAATGTGGAAATATTTGGCTTCGTTTACGCTCTGCCAAGAACCCCTCGCGCTCAAGAAACCACCCTGTCTCCTCATCGTCTCGGCTGCTTGAGCAGCTTGGTAGCTCTTCGTCAATAAGTCCAAGATTCCTCGGGTGATGAAGCAATCCGAGTGACAAAGATTGGTAAAACTCCAGGACACTGGCAAACTCTTCTCAAAGAGGGGTCTTTCCTGTCTGCCGAAAGGAGATCAAGATGAACCCGCCGCATGATAGGACCATGTCATGATTCAACGAAGCTAAACGTACCTCTGCTCCAGCATACTGCTTCCCACTGGTTCCATATGTCCCCTGTCGAACATCCAAGAGGAAACTTGTTGTGAGATGGCCATGCTTTGAACCGCCCACACGAGAAATATAAGCACCTCACCCCAGTGGCCAGCCAAGGCACACTAACGTGGGCATTAGGGGCTGCCCCAAGCCCGCCGCGACATTGCTTGAGCCACATGCTGCAGGTGCCAGTGAATGAAGCAGTGAAGCGCATGGTTCTGCAATCGGTGACATAGATCTCCCATCCTCCCAGTCAAGAATCCAAAGGGCGAGTTCCAAAAAATCCTCTGGCCGAATCCGTTTTGAAGGCAGAGATCCAATGTTTCGAACCCCGAGGTCATCTCGGCGCTTGCCCCGAACCCCATGTCCCGGCCTCCTTTCGCGAGCCTGCGGCTGGGATTGAATCTGCCGATGTGCCAATGAAACCAACTCTTGGCGCAACATGGGCCATTTCGCCTAATCAAAGCCTGTTTTGCTCGGCCAGTTTGGGCTCTGTACAGGTGACCCCTGCTCAATCCCCTCACTGATTAAGGGTCCCTGTTGGTGGGGATTTCTTTCTTCCAGGCGGGCCCCGCTGAGTAGTAACTGACGGGTTTGTCAATCAAGGATCGAAGTGACCACTTTTTGAGGGGAATCCAAATCACAAGTTTGGGGTAAACTTCAAAGGCCAGCCCTGCAACATCCTACGTCAGCTGATTGACAAGAAACGAAGGCTTAGCCGGGTACCCACAATGAAATAGCTGGTCTGGAAAATTCAAAAGCTAAGCATACTCTTGTGGCTTCTCCTACCAAACGGAAAAATTGTGACAAATGTCTTAAAAAGGAAAGAGAGTTCCCGATATCAGGAAACACCCAACTGGGCACCGACGGCAACCAAAACAAAAACAAGTGAAAAGCAAGTGAAAACAGCATGCCAAGAGAGCTCCTTCTCTCAGGAAACGCCCAAGAAACACACAGAACCCAAGTGGAACCACATGGAAACCAATCAAAACCCTAGGGCGATTCATCATTCCAGGAAACACCCGCTTGGGAACCAATAGAAACCCAATTCGGCCACAACCAAATGTGCGTGTGTGTGTGTGTGGCTTCTTTATTGTGGTTTTGAGGGAAAACAAAAGGACCATTTCGGGGAGTCCCTCAAAACAAACACAACCAAATAACAACCACATTGGAGTCCAAGTGGAAACTAAATAGAAACCGCCATAAGGGGGTCAGATTTGGAGTACCAAATAGACACCAACTGGAAAGCAGTGGAAACTAAGTAGCGCCCACAACCATAACTAAACTGTGAAACCTGGTGCTGGAACACCATTTACTACCAAGCAGTTGTGGTTGAACATGGTTCGCCGTATGCATCTCCCGAACCATGGCCATAGTCCCAACCCTCAGAGATACAGCTCCGACTTAAATGGCCTGGGTTTATGTTGCGCTACTAACTTGGCGGAACACCCTCAAACATGGCTGGAAATTAGTGATTGCGTAACGTCGCCCCATGTTCATCAACCTGGCGGATTAATAGGGGCGGGGGGCGTCCCCTATGAAGTGATCATGGGGAACACTTTTGCAATCACAATCAGACGAGGGGCTTCATCCTGAGTTGCCATATAGATTTGTCTATCAAGTGGGTGCGTCTTCTTTTTGGGGGTACCATGGGGTACCCTTTTTAAGGGGGTTCAAGAGAGACCAAGTGATACCACCATTTTGAAAAACGGTCCCCTAAAAAAAAAAAAAACACCCAAATGCTGGAGAGACGGGTCCCAAAAGATGCGTGGTTTCCTTCCCCTGATAACCCCCCCCTTTTGGGCCTACGACGCCACCACGGAACACTCACGTTTCATGGGCCAAAACAGTGATGTTCAAAACCACCAAAAAGGGAGCCATGTACGATGTTCCACATATAAAATCTAGTTGCGCGGCCCTAAAGTCGGCGCCTTGGCTCTCCGGCGCCGCCGGCAGGGCACCTCAGCGCACGACAGCCCTTTTCCTGGCGGGCCCGAAGAAAGTGGAAAGATCCGAGAACAAAGGGAAAGGGAAAAAAAAAAAAAACTCGAAAATTGCGAGCTGAGTGGCTTAAAAAAGAACGAAAAGGTCATTGAAGAGGAAGGATGCTTTGGTGTGTTTTTGGCAGTTCCACGTTGTTGGCTGTTCCACGTTGTTGGGTTGGTGTGTGTGTGTGTGTGTGTGTGTGTGTGTGTGTGTGTGTGTGTGTGTGTGTGTGTGTGTGTGTGTGTGTGTGTGTGTGTGTGTGTGTGTGTGTGTGTGTGTGTGTGTGTGTGTGTGTGTGTGTGTGTGTGTGTGTGTGTGTGTGTGTGTGTGTGTGTGTGTGTGTGTGTGTGTGTGTGTGTGTGTGTGTGTGTGTGTGTGTGTGTGTGTGTGTGTGTGTGTGTGTGTGTGTGTGTGTGTGTGTGTGTGTGCCGTGTGCGTGTGTGTGTGTGTGTGTGCGCGTGTGCGCGTGTGCGCGTGTGCGCGTGCGCGCGTGTGCGCGTGTGCGCGTGTGCGCGTGTGCGCGCGTGCGCGTGTGCGCGCGTGCGCGCGTGCGCGCGTGTGCGCGTGTGCGCGTGTGCGCGTGTGCGCGTGTGCGGTGCGTGCGTGCGTGGGTGCGTGCGTGCGGAGCGTGCGTGCGTGCATGCGTGCGTGCGTGCGTGCGTGCGTGCGTGCGTGGGTGCGTAGGTGCGTGCGTGCGTGCGTGCGTGCGTGCGTGCGTGCGTGCGTGCGTGCGTGCGGGCGAGCGTGCGTGCGTGCGGGCGGGCGTGCGCGTGTGCGCGTGTGCGCGTGTGCGCGTGTGCGCGTGCGCGCGTGCGCGCGTGTGCGTGTGTGCGGGTGCGGGTGCGGGTGTGCGGGTGTGCGAGTGTGCGGGTGTGCGGGTGTGCGGGTGTGCGGGTGTGCGGGTGTGCGTGTGTGCGGGTGTGCGGGTGTGCGGGTGTGCGGGTGTGCGGGTGTGCGGGTGTGCGGGTGTGCGGGTGTGCGGGTGTGCGGGTGTGCGGGTGTGCGGGTGTGCGGGTGTGCGGGTGTGCGGGTGTGCGGGTGTGCGGGTGTGCGGGTGTGCGGGTGTGCGGGTGTGCGGGTGTGCGGGTGTGCGGGTGTGCGG